AACGAAGGCGGCCACATTCATCGCTAAAGGTCGTGCAGCTGCCTTTCTACTGCTGCGACTGTTAGAGCCAAGGGAAATAACATTGTATTCCTTTGATTAGAGCCATAGGCAGCGGCCATCGACTCGTGCGAAAATATGAATGGTAGACAGCCATGCTACATGTACCTTTCGAGGTACCGATTTGGGCCTACTGGTCACTTCCTCCTACTGTCGCTGCTGCTCGTGCTCGCCAACGTTGGTGGTCCATCCGCGCTCATTTGCAGCAAATAAAACGGTCGGTGATCGCTCGAGTGGTTCTTCATCGGGCCGAGCATCAAGCTGTCATCCATGTGTCGACACAGCTCGACCGCCACGGGTCGAGACTACTGTACTAGGCCGTGGACGATATCGCAGCCCTCGCTTCCTTGCAAGCACCTGCTTGCATGATGCTCGATGGCAATGATGAGGTCTTAGGCACTAGTAGCTCGCTGGAGCGTTGCTGCACTCGATCCCCTTGTACCCTTGCTCCCTGTCAATAACGCGCCAAGGTGCGAATGGCGGTCGTTGAAAAACGCGTTTAATCCCACTGCAACCAATCGCGTTTTATTCGATCTTTCGAGACGTGGGGAGCAGCTTGGCAAGCTTCCGACCGGACACGCGCGGCTACGGGTCGACCGCTGGCAGCGTCTCCATGTCTGCCTCCGTCAAGGACATGAGCCTCGCGTACGTCAAGTGCATGCTCGTCGTCACGGCGCGGGTCGGCGTCTACTACTCGACGGACGTGCAGGCCACGGTCGCGATCCCGAGCCATCTAGATGCGACCAAGGTCTGCAGTCGCGTGGTCCATGCGCTCAAGCGCGAGCCCAACTTGACCGAGACATCCGAGGGCAACTCGCGCATATGTCGGTGGACCGTGAGATCGTCACGGCCGACGCGGTCAAAACGCTCTACGACGCGATCCACCTCGAGCACAGCGTAAGCGTGAGCCTCCTCGTGCGCAACTCGTCCAAGCTCTCAAATTTGCGGTACCGCTTGCACAAGACGCGTACCTCTCGACCGATGTCATTGCACCTGCCATCGACAGGCGTCGAGGCACCGCGATTTGTACTGCGCACGACATACGAGCGCCAACCGAGCTTTGAAAGTCAAATGCGTATGCTGCATCGCTCCGACCGCCAGTGTCGCCGCGCAAGCCCGTGCCGCACGCCCAGATGATCACAATACTTCCGTTGAAGTGCCGATTCTCCGAGCCGAGGCACGCGTTGTTATTCTCAACCACTA